GCATTTTAAGTCCGATGCCCAAGAGGCTCCAAGCGGGCCCCAAGAGGGCTCCAAGACGGCTCCAAAAGGGTCCGATTTTCTACTGCCAGACGCCCACTCGCTGGTAGTAGAAAATGCTGCCCTGTTGGAGCCATGAGCGCGAGGCCCTCTTGGATCCCTCTTTGGCCCCCAAGAGGTTTCAACAGGGCCCCAAGAGCGCGGCCCCCAAGAGGTGTCAAGAGGGCCTCAAGAGCGCCCCAAGAGGACTCAGAGGACTCAAAGGAACTCCACGAAGGCCCCCCGCTGGTAGTAGAAAATGCTGCCCTCTTGGAGCCCCTTCGGGGCTCTCTTGGGCCCTCTCGGGGCCCTTTTGGAGCCCTCTCGAGCCCCCAACAGGCTCCAAGAGGGCCCCACGAGGGTCCCAAGAAGGCTCCAAGACGGCCCCAAGAGGGCCCGATTTTCTGCTACCAGGCGGCCCCCCGCTGGTAGTAGAAAATGCTGCCCTCTTGGAGCCCCTTCGGGGCTCTCTCGGGGCACCCTTGGGACCCTTTTGGAGCCCTCTCGGGCCCCCAAGAAGGTCCAATGAGGGCCCCAAGACGGCTCCAAGACGGCCCCAAGAGGGCCCAATTTTCTACTACCAGACGGCCCCCCGCTGGTAGTAGAAAATACTGCCCTCTTAGAGCCCTCTTGGGCCCTTCTTGAGGCTCCCAAAAAGGTCCCCGGGGACATCCGAGGCCCGACTTGGGGCCCCCTTCGGCCGTCTCCGGGTCCCGTCTTGGGCTCCGGTCCGTGGACCGTCCTCAAAGTTTCTGGCTCCGTCTTGGAGCAATCTTCTGCCAATCTTCTGCCGTCTTGGAGCCTCTCTTTAGGGCATCTGCGGCCGTCTTGGGGCTCTCTCCCGAATCGTATTTTCCATCCTCACATACCGCCATCATCACCATCACCACCGTAGCTGTGATTCAGTGCTCAGACGAAGATTTCGCACCTTCCGGCTATCGCATCGCACTGCTTGGAAGCAGCGATACAATGGTGCATTGCTGGTTGTGCACTGCAGAGACTCCTTTGGACGATATAGTATACTTGAGAGATGTGATTACAAACAGCGAGCATCGCACGTTGCTCGTAGACCGCTTCGGCGGCTGTAGTACGATGCCTTTTCTTTGCCAAGGCTGCGCCAACAACTTGGTATCATATCAGACCACAGCGGCTAAGTTCCACGAAACTGAGGTGGGCCAGTCTTTGATGCGCACTGCTCAAGCTCTCTTCAATCGCGATCGCGACCAGATTGCTGCATTTTATGCATTACACGGCACCACCAAAAAAGTTGAGCCACTCGTACCAGCAGGGAAAAGTTTGGACGATGCTGGGGGTTGGCACCCCCACGTTGAGTTCCAGAGGGGGTGCAAATTCGAACCTTACATTGGCCGGACAGCCAGGGCCGCCCGCGTAGTGGGCGCCAGCCCCAAGGCCGCTGCCGCGAGCCTGCGCGAGCGTTTAGCGCTCATGAGACCGTGGTACGTGCTGAAATCTACCATTGATCCTAGCAAGTCCATTTCGTTAAATGGTACAGTAGACAGGTTCTATTCTCGCCTTGTTGCAGAACATTCTGGCTTTTTTTTGCCATTTGCTGATATATTTTGGTTATCGTTGCCAACGGGAAAGCGCGTGCCGAAAGAATTAGCCGCTATCAGAACATTAGCACGCGAACATCTGTATACCCACTGGAGCACAGGGTGGGGTGTCTCCGCGGTTGTAAACGAAGCGCTGGGGGCGGAAATCCTCCCAGACTCACAGGACAGTGAGCATGAGGTGCGCCAGGAACTTTTTGGCTTCTATGCCAGCTTTCTGTACTTCACACCCTGGGGAAAACAAGTGCGCGATTTGGCTGTGGAGGGCCTGCCGCAGCATCTCAACGACACCGTCTTCCTCATGCAGTGTTTCTTTTTCAAGCTATGCGAAGTCCGCAAATACAACAGCATGCGGCGGCGGTTCTGGGTTGAATGGTGGGCCCCCATTCTGACAAGAATTCATTCTGTCCTCACCAGCACAGTGGCGCGTATTCATTGGCCCATTTTCTATGTCTCCGAGCCGACCGACCAATGGGACACGTTCGTGGCAAAGTTCAAAAAAGGAGACGAACAACCCATCCCAAAAAAACCTTGCCTACCATCGGTCCATGGAAACAGCTCGGAGGCGACTGCTATCGAGGATGAGTGGATGCCGCCGTGCCCTTGTTGCCGCTCCTGTGATACACGGTCACATCAGGCCGCCCACAAGCGATATCGGTGCTATCGCTGCGACCATTATTTCAGATGCCATTTTGCTTCGGCGTCTTGAGACGCGCCGATGATTCCCCGTCTTGAGACAGTTGGCGTTGTAATTATGTTAGCCATTTCGTTGCCGTTGGAAATCCGAATAAAGATCCGCATGTCCAGCCAGGCCAGCCTCATCTAGATGCTTCTCGGCAACTATAGCCGCCCCCTCTGGGCTGGTTCCATGGTTGGTTGGCTGGGCGATTTGCTGGTTGGTTGGTTGGCCGCTTGGTTGGTTGGATGGTTGGTTGGCTGGGCATTCGCTGGTTGGTTGGCTGGTTGGCTCGCCAGAAGAAGGCGGGTCGCGGGTGGGTGGGACCTTCGAGAAAGAGCAACGCCGGCCTGGGAGGGGCTGAATACGGTGGGGGGTGCCTCTGGGGTGCTTCCGAGGCGCCCTAGGCGGACAGGCCGGGCGGCCGGGGGTGCCGCCGCGGCCGAGGAGGGCCCTTGGAACCCTTCTGAGGCGCCCCAGGCGGACAGGCCAGGCGGCTGGGAAGCCCGCCACGACCCGCCGCTCGCGGGGCGAGTCTCGGGCCCGAGGCGAGGATAATCAACCGGATCCGGCCTTGGGTCGGAGGCGAGGGCGGCGAGGCAGAGGAGGAGGCGGAGGGGGAAGGGGAGGAGGAGGAGGAGGAGGAGGAGGAGGAGGAGGAGGAGGCGGGGGAGGCGGGGGACGAGGAGGAGGAGGAGGAGGACGACGCAGCGTGCCCAGCCGCATGCCAACGGCGAGGGCGACTCCGCCGCCACGCCGCACCGCCCTGGAAGTTGGAGGGAGGGGGGAGGGCAGGAGGAGGACGAGAATGCGGAGGAGGAGGAGGAGGCGGAGGAGGAGGAGGAGGCGGAGGACACATCGTGCCCGTCCGCATGCAGCATCGAGGGGCGACCGCGCCGCAACGCCCAATCGCCCTCGGGGGGGACGGGGGGGGACGAGGAGGAGGAGGAGGAGGAGACCAAACGAAAGACCAATATTGGAGTTTGGACCGTCTTGGGGCGGTCTTCTGGGCCGTCTGTATGTCTGTTGGCCGTCTCGAGCGGCCAGGAGATTCCCCGGACGGCCCAGTAAGGGCCCGAAGCGGCTTCACTGCAGCCCGCGGCGGGGCTTGGCAAGCCCAGGGCCCGGAGGTATTTATGCTCCCCTAAATACCTCGCGATTCGGTCGCCGACCTTGCCCCCGAAAGGTTCCCAAGACAGCCCAAGACTTCTCCAGAATATCAAAACGGGCCCCAGTGACGCCCCACGAAGGCTCCACATGACATCAGCGGACGTCGAAATGCCCCCCAGGCGGTCCAGGAGCTCGCCCTGACCCCGGGCCCCCTCCAGGGATCGGCATCATCGTCATCATCACCGTCATCATCGTCACCATCAGCAGCATCGGCATCATCAGCATCGGCATCATCAACATCAGCATCAGCAGCATCGTCATCAGCAGCATCAGCACCGTCAGGCCACCATTGTCATCAGCAGCATCGGCATCATCGTCATCATCGTCACCGCCATCATCGTCATCGTCATCATCTTAATCAACGTCATCATCGTCCTTATCGCCCTGATCGTCCGAGGCCCGACTTGGGACCCCCTTCGGCCGGAGACGGCCGAAGGGGGTCCCAAGTCGGGCCTCGGATGTCCCCGGAGAACCTTTTTGGGAGCCTCAAGAAGGGCCCAAGAGGGCTCTAAGAGGGCAGTATTTTCTACTACCAGCGGGGGGCCGTCTGGTAGTAGAAAATTGGGCCCTCTTGGGGCCGTCTTGGAGCCGTCTTGGGGCCCTCATTGGACCCTCTTGGGGGCCCGAGAGGGTTCCAAAAGGGCCCCAAGAGGGCCCCAAGAGAGCCCCGAAGGGGCTCCAAGAGGGCAGCATTTTCTACTACCAGCGGGGGGCCCCCTGGTAGCAGAAAATCGGGCCCTCTTGGGGCCATCTTGGAGCCTTCTTGGGGCCCTCTGAGGGCTCTCTTGGAGCCTCTTGGGGGCCCGAGAGGGCTTCAAAAGGGCCCCAAGAGGGCCCCAAGAGGACAGCATTTTCTACTACCATGATCGTGCTGGTCACCATGATCGTGTTAATCACCATCGCATTCTTCATGATCGTGTTAATCACCATCAACATCCTCACCATCATCACCGTAATCATCACCATCGCCGTCGCCGCCGATTTGTCGCTCAAGGTGCCTGGCGCAATTTGTCGGGCCATCCGTGGCCCGAGCGCGGGCTCTTCGTTCAAGGTGCCTGGCCGCAGGGGCGGCGCGGCGAGTGCCAATGTCGCAGGATGACGCAGAGCCCCCGTCGTTGTCCCAGCTGTCGCCTGGCAGCGTGCTCTCTCGCATGAAAGCCATCGAGAAGGAGTCCGTCGTAGAGTTCGAGGCCATGAAGGCACGCATCAAATCATCCACTGACCCTGGCGATGGAGCAGTCGATCGGCTGCGCAGCATTGCTGTCCAGGCGTGGCGAAATGCCACCGGCACCACCGTCCCTTGGCAGTTCTTGGGGGACATCCTCAACAAGGCGAACGCGCAGTTGCGCGACCTCTTCTTCGAGAACTGGTGCGACGGGGTCTGGGACGCCAAGGCGGTGAATGAGGCAACGAACTTTCATGCGAAAGCTTCCAACATCTCGGTGAAAGACTACATGAAAGAGCACGCGGAGGATTTCTACACGGAGCTCCTGCGCGAGAAGTGCCCCGACCCTCGGCGCGCGCAAGAGCTGACGCCGGTCCGGTCTATGGCGCCCGCGGAGATCGCAGACGCCTGCTCCCGGGTTTCGGTGGGGAACGGATTGCCTGAGGATGGGCACTTGGTTCGAGCCGCTTTTCAGGGGCAGTGCGTGTACTATTGGAAGGGCGCCGCTTCGGAGCTTAAGAACCCGCTCTTGGAGGAGAGCGAGAGCAAATGGGACGTGGGCGCGCCGTGGCCTTAGTTCGGCCCCCCGTGCTGGCAGGAGGGTCCGCGAGATCGGAAGTGCGGGCAAATCCGCCCGCGCCCCCGATGTCGCGGACCCGCCGTCCAAGGTCGAATCTCCCCCTGATCGCCGAAGGGGACCCGTCTGGCGGCAAGGACAACCTCAAGAACATCGTGCTCACGTGGATCGGCTCCTTGAGCGAGGAGCAGCTTCCAGCAACGACAGTGTGGAAGCAGCGGGACATCTCGGTCACGGGGATCGTGAAGCAGCTTAAGAGCACCGGCCCGCAACTCCAGATTTTGAACGGGGAGCTGGAAAAGGTTCTCAATTCCAAGAAGGAGAACATGCTCCAAGAATCAGACATCATCGAGTTCTTGGATGGCACTGACGCATTCGGAAAAGGGACTGGTCAAGACCAGTGCTGCATCAAACCTGTGGCGTGGATGCTGCTGTGTTCACAAATGAAGACTTACACTCGGGAAATGGGCAGCGACTCGTGTGGCCGTCTGCGCTTCGTGCTCCTGCACCTCGACGCTAGCAAGACCAAGAACACGCCCACGGAGGAGAAACTTGTACCCCGGCACCGAAGCATGGAGTTGCTGACGGAGACCCTCCGAGAAGTCTTGTTGGCGCAGCAGAGTGCGGCGCCGGAGGCAGCGCATGGGTTCGCCGACGCCGCGAGCGCCCCGAGCTCGTCGCAGCCGCCTGGCGAGTCGGCCGACGCGGCGCGCCCCCCCGTGAAGTTGCGCGCCCGCCTCAGCCGCGCCATGGCGAACGTGGAGGGGCCGTCGGTGAAGGAGGAGGAGCCGATAGTGAGAGTGAAGCTGGAGGAGCCCCACCACCCGCCGGCGCAGCCAGTGACAGCTGGCGCCCCGCCCAGCGACATGGCCGTGAGCATCATGGACTGGAAGCCGACGGCCGCCCTCATATTCATCGGAGTTCAGGACGGGTCCTCGGCCGCGTGCAACAAATCGGGCAACCCCATGGGCAGCTCCGTCGTGACTAAACACGCGGGCAAAGCTTTCGGCGCTTGCGCCACGGCTAACGTGGCGTCCAGGAACGGGCTGCTCCGCGCCTGCCCCGGCTGCCGCGGCTGATCGCCTGATCGAGCGATCGGAGAAGGTTGCTTGCTGCGGTGGTCCGCGGCTGCTTGCGATCGAGATCGGGGTCCGCGGTTTCGGGGCCCTGGTTCGCCGTCCCCTCGGTCGCCGTGGGCCCGCGGTTCGCGCGTCATTCAGTTCGCGACAGCCCGATCCCCCAGGTCACCCTTTGTCGCGCCTCAGCCGGGCAGGTCGATCGCTGGGCGGGCAGGGGGCGGCGCGTCACCGAGGCTTCGCCATCGGCCGGAGCGCTCCTCTTGATGCTGGGATTCGAACTCTCGACGCCCTGGCGGCGGTGCCCGCCATGGAGCTCTACTCCGTCAACCAGATGGCCGCGGAGCGCAAGATAGAGCGCAAGAAGGAGCTGATTCATGCCTCGGAGCCCCGTTCGAGGGCCACGATCGAGGACGAAGCCACGGAGGAGGTGCCGCATTTGAGCAATGTTGATTTCGCGGCGCGCCGGCTGCTGGACGCGGCGGCAGCCGTGGACGGCATGTGGGCTAACGCCGTAGAAGGCATCCCCTACAAGATATCGAGCAAGAGCCCGTGGTACAACTTCCAGCACAAGCACTTCCGCCGCGATCGCAAGCGGCAGGCCGACCTGATCAAGTACGGGGGCACAGCGACGCTGCAGCCATACGGCAAGAGCGAGGGGTGGAAGAGCTTGCTCGACCACTTAGTCGAGCGCGGAGCTGCCGAGCCAGACGGCGCCCGCGTGCGCATCCGGGCTTCGTCTCCAGGCCGTCGCTTCGTCAGCGAGCTGAAGCTCTCGTGCGAGGCGGCCGCCATGTATAGAGATGCGCCAGCGGCCAGCGCGGCGCCGGCTCTCGGCGCGGGTGGCCAGGGCCCGGCGGACGCCGCCCCCAGCGAGCCCGCTCCGCCAGGCGGGAAGCGCCGCAGGCGCAAGTTCTGTCTGAGCACCTCGCCCCCGAAGGTCCCACTGCGAGCTGGGTCCCGGGTCCGCGGGGCCGCCCGCGCTTCCCAGGCCCGCGCGAGCCCGAATTCGCCGGCCGCATCCGCGGCCGAGACCCCCGAGAGCCGTGCGTCCGAGAGGGCCCCGAGCCGTTCCGGGTCGAGGTCCAGGTCCAGGGCCGCGCGCGGAAGTTGAGATGCGCCGCTCGCGTCATCCACGCGGTTATAATTCAGGGGCGACCGAGATGACATCGCCCGCCGCCAGCGCTTTTGAGCACGTGGCGTCGTTTTCTTCGGTCGTTATGCAAAAACCTCTGGCCCCCCCTCATCGCTGTCCATCCCCGGCCGCTTGTCGCACGGGGGAGATGGGGGCGGGGGAGGAGGAGGAGGACGGAGGGGGAGGAGGCCAGGAGGAGGGAGGAGGGGAGGAGGAGGAGGAGGAGCCTGCGGATACAATTTCAAATGCCCCCCAGGGATCCCCAAGGGCCCAAGGGATTCCCCAGACATCGTCAGACAGCCACGCGAGGGCCCCGCGACGGCCCATGGCGGGGCCCAGCAGGCCCAGGGACCCCGAGGTATTTGGGATTCCTTAAGTACCTCAAGATTCGGTGGCCGAGTCTAACCCCAAGAGGGCCCCGACACAGCCAAACCGGTCCCCAGAAGGCACCATAGAGGCCCGCGAGAACCTCACCAACATTTTTCTGATGGACAGGGAGGAGGGGAGAACGGCGAGGAGAGGATGAGAGGATGAGGATGAGGAGGAGGAGGAGGAGGAGGAGGAGGAAGGAATAGAGATGGGGTGACGTCGCCAGCCGACGTCGCACAGGATCTCGCAGGGCGCAGCCCGTCGACATGGACGGCCTCTGCTTGCTCCTCCCCTTCCTCCCCCCTCCGCGGCCCTGGCACCTGCCCGCTGGGTAAGCGCGTAAATTCGCAAAGTGGTAAACCGACAGGCGGCTCGTTTACGCGTTTGCCGCTTTACCCGTTTTCGCGTAAAGTGGGAGGTGCGGGAAAACCTCCACTTTACGCGAAAATATCCCGGTTTACGAGTTTACGGGTTTACCCGTTTTCGCGTTTTCGGTGGATCCTCCTCTTGCGGCCTCCCAACTTCTCCTCGCCAGCACAGTTTCCAGCAGCTCGCGCTCGGCAGCTCAGCAGTCGCTCAGCAGTCGCACTTTCAGTTGCTCAGCAGTCGCTCGCACTTGTGCTTTCACTTTCGGTCGCTCAGCAGTCGCACTTCTTGTTGCTCAAGTCCGAGTGGTATGAACGCTCTTGCCAGCAGCTCGTCCAGGCTGGGTGCACTCCCCAGCAATGCCCTTCCAGGCACAAGCCCCTGTCCGTCACGAGGGACAGCAGGCCCTTTGAACCGACTTCGGAGCGTGTGGGTCCAGGAGCTCCAGTGGAGCCATGTCAGGGCTGGATCCAGGTTTGAGGCAATCCGACTACAGCTCAATTCAGGATTACTGCGAAACCTGGATCCAGGTCTAATCGAGTCCTGCCAGGGCTCCATCCATAGGACTGGATCCAGCTGACATAGGGTCTTGGTAAGGCTCGATTCGGCTTCATTCGAACCCTGTAAGTCCGGCTCGTTGCAGCTTTAATCGCATCCCATTGGGGCTCCACCTCCAACAACATCGCACATGGACTGCATCCAACTCTAATGTAACACTACGGCGGCCGGGCCAAACTCTAGCAAGATCACATTAGGGTTGGATCAAGGTCTGATCGGATCTTACTAGCGGTGGACCTTTTTTGTAATATGTTGAGGATTGCATCCCGCTCTCATCGAGTCTAGGGACGGCTCGAACATTTCTTAAGTGAGTAGATCCCTTTCGGGCTCGGTCCAGCTTGAATGGAATATGATTGGGGATCGATCCTGATTCGATCGCATCCTACTCAGACTCGATCGGCGTTCTCGTCGTCGTCTTCGTTGTCGCTGTCATCTTCGTCATGGTCGCCGCTCGTCGTTCGTCGTCGGCGTCGGCGTCGGCGGCGGCATCGAGGGAGAGAGGGAGGGAGGGAGGGGGAGGACGAGGACGAAGTGGAAGGGAATGGGATGGAATAGGGTACCTGAGTACCTGTTCAACAAACCTACGCTTTGCCACTGCCAAGTGCTACTGTATCTACCTGCTGGAAGGTCTCTACGATGAGCCCACCAAAACCTCCACAATTGCGACACATGGACAGCCGCCGCACTTGGCGCACGTCGACATTGGCCACAGGCCAGAGGCCACGGGCCCCACTGACGGACACGCAGCCCGCTCCCCCGACACGGGGGCTGGCTCTTGGGCGCAGGGCTCGTCGTCTCCTCTCCCGCTCCCACGGCCACGCGCCCCCTCCCACGACCCCCCGTCCCCCCCTGATGCTGCTAGAGCCGAGGGAGGCGGTGAGAGAAGCTGTTTGCGCGGCCCGATGTGTGTTTGTTTGTGTCGCGTTTCGGGGGGGCACTTGAGCGGCCTCCACTTTAGGAGTACGCTGGAGGACCCACGAACCCATCTCGACGGGGTGGTCGCCTCTCGCGGACTTCACTCTTTCGCCGTGTCCCTGAGGTGGTCCTTCCCTTGCAGGAAGGGGATGGAGAAGGATGGAGAAGTGCCAAGTCGTTTTTGGAAGTTCGACGGGGTTAGGGAACCCCGATGGGGGATCCAGCTTGGTCTCCGTATTCTGCGTCACTTCCTCGTCTTCTTGCGAGTGATTCCTCCTCGATTCACCTCTAGACTTGCGTCGCAGCATTGTTGTTGCGTTTTTGTTTCCCCTGGTCCTCCTCCCTCTCCCTCTCATCCTCTTGGGGCCTGTTTTTTTTGGTTCCGGGCCGATGACGGCCGGCTACTGGGGGGGGGGAGAGGACCGATGACGTCACGTTTAGCGCCGGCGGCGTCTGGGAATACCTAGGACTGACCGAGGACGGGTAGCAGCAGCATGTAGGTGGCGATCTGCATAACAGCGCCTGTGCAAACCACAGTGCTTGCGTGCACCACAGCGCATGTGTACACCACGCCGCCCATGTACACCACAGCGGCCGCGTGCAACACAACGCCAATGTGTGCCGCAGTGCCTGCGTGCACCACAGCGCTTGTGTACACCAGCCTGCGTACACCACAGCCGTGCGCAACACAGCACCAGTGTACTCCACAGTTTCTTGGTGTGTGCCACAGCGCCTGTGTACACTACGGTGTCTGCGTGCACCACAGCAACCGTGTGCAACAGAGCACCCTTGGTGTATATAGAATGTTAGAAGGAATCCTTATGCCATAATGGAGCGCTTGTGCATTCCACTGAAAACAAGTGCTTCATATCGGATTTCTAACAAGAGTCCTTATCGGAAAAGAAGCGCCGCTGGAATCTACGAGTCCTCTTGAGTCCTCCCGCATCATCCGAACTCCTCCCATATGCGTCCACAAGGCTCCCGCAGAATTGGCCGTCCGACAACCAAGTGGATTGATTGACCATTCTGCGGTGCACGCTGAGATGCGCACGTGCGCTGTAGCGCCGACCCACACGACGGGGGGAAGGGTGAAGGAGGCGAAGGAGGAAGAGGAAGAGGAGGAGGGAATAACATCGCATTCCATTATCAGCATTTCCTTAGCGTGGTTTTCCGCTGTCCGCATCAGATCCTCCTTCTACCTGTTCTGTGCACGCAGGCTCTGCGGTGCACACCAGCGCTGCGCTGCCCGCGGATGTTGTGGTGTACGCAAGCGTTGTGGTGTGCACAGGCGCTGCGGTGCACGCAAGCATTTTGGTGTACACAGGCGCTGTTTTGCACATTGTTGCTGCGGTGTACACTGTCGCTGTGGCGTATGCAGGCGCTGTGGTGCACGCAAGCACTGTGGTGTACACAGGCGCTGCGTTGCACACGGCTGTTGCGGTGTACGCAGGCGCTGTGGTGTACGCGGGCACTGTGGCGTACACAGCTGCTCTGGTGTAGATCGCCACATGCATGCTTCTCCGTCTTGGCTTCGGTCATCCCTGGGCATTCACGGCTCCGCCGGCACGGAACGTGACGTCATCTGCGGGGGGGGGGCGGGTCCGATGACGGCCGTTACCCCGGGGGAGAAAAACACACACACATACACAACAAACAACAT